GAACTTTGCGGGCAAACGCAGGAATCGATGTAAAGGAAAAAGCTGGTCCCGGTTGTACTACGGAACGGTTCGGCGTCGCCACCGCTCCCAGGAGACGGCTTTCTGCAAACATATATTAAATCTCGCCATGCTGAAGCGTCGTGAAGAAGTGCGGTGGCAACACAGAACACGCGCGTTCCACGTGATGAGCTGCTTTTTGGTAGAAGGACGGCGAGCCTGCAAAGACGAGATAAGCCAAGGGCGACCCCAGTGGTTAGGCCCACGGCCAGGTCCTGGTGTAGTAGCCGGCGTATGCCCGTAAGAAGGCGGTGTCGATGGCCTCCCGGTCGACGTTGAGCTTCCACAGGAGACGGGATGGTTGTATGGCTCCGCGCACGAACACCTCCACCAGCGGTTGGCCACCCGCTTGCACGAGGCCTCGAGGGGCGGATGGCGTCCCAGGAAAGATTGGAAACCTTCTCGGCGCAAATGACTGCTGCTCGCGGTGGATCTGCTCGGTGGCCTAGTCAGCACCAACGAGGAGGGAGCCCGTCGAGCCATTGACATGCACTGCCTCGAAGCGGAGCCAACGGCCATCAGGAAAACGCAGAGCCTTAGCCAGCTCCACCGCTTTACAGACCCGGGCGGGCCTGCCCGAGACCTCCAGTACCAACGGTGGGAGGGGCCATCACCATGGATGATGGTGTCGTCACGGCTGACGCTGGAGGCGGAGGTCCACTCGTCAAGCGAACGTGAAACACGGTCGGGGGCGACGTCGGACTTGCGTTGATGGTGAAGACATTCGGGAGATCCTTGCGGTCGAATTCGGCGAGACGAGACACATCGATGGCAGAGGAATGCTGTTCATCCAAAGCCAGCGCTCATTGAACCGATTGACGGAAGCTCGAAGGTCACGAGTTTCATTCTCAAGCCGCTGCTGCTCCTGCTGGAGTGCACGGATGTCGCCGTTGTGGGGGTCGACGCGGCGGAGCGTGGGCCCGAAATGCCGCTGCCACCCTGCACGGCGACCAGAGTGTCCGTGACCACAGTCTGGACCCGCGCCGTGATGGTAGAGGTGTGAGACTGGACCTCGTGGGCAACCAGCCGCGAAATATCTTGGACATTGCTATTGCAGCCCCGTGAGGGCGCTTCATAAGGCGAAGCCGGGACGAAGATCAAATCGGGTGAGGATAAAGCGAAAATCTTTGAGATCCGGCGGCTCTGGAGGATGTCTCGGGCGCCGCGGCTATCTCAGAGCATTCCAAACGCTCTGAGAGCGTTCTGGAACGCTCTCGAACGGATTTCTCCGCGTCCTATCCACGTCCGACTTCAGGAGCGGCACCACGGGCAGGCGGGATAAGCAGCCGGATCGGAGCCAGAGCGAATAGGCGCACGGGCAGGAGGAGCGCCAAGACCTGGCCACCTGACGCCACGGGCCCAAGTAAGCGACGAAAAGAAACGGGTCTTATGCGAAATCTAATAGCGGCCTTACGCGGCGGCTTACGCGGGCTGCCGGCGCGGCACGCTGCCTTGGAGACGAGGGTGCTTACGCGCGAGCTTACGCGGGCAGCTTGCGCGCCAATGCTGGCGCAGACGAGCCCGTTTTTCTCTGCGTCGCTTACGTGGCGTCGGGGGCCGGTAGTTCTGTACGGCGGCCGCCTCCTGCGACGCAAAATGTCAACATGATGCAGTCGGGGCGTTGACCTAAGGAATCCTAAATAAGGAACGAGGCCCCTGTTTCCGTGAGTCAAGCTTCGACTTCCCATCGGAAGCCTAAGGACAACCTGAGGCAAGCCGCGAAACAACGAAGAAACACGGAGCCCTCCCCGACGAGAAGGATCCCTTCTTCAGCGCCACGACTGCATCGAGTGGAGCGAGGTCCTCTGCGGAGAGGCGAGGGCGGCCCTTCAGCAGCAGGGGATCCGCCAGCACGCCCCGAGAGAAGGTACGGCCGCTGCCCTGTGCGATGTCGCGCGGGTCCCAGCTGCCCCCCTGCCGCTGACGGAGGAGGGGGAGGAGGAGGGGGAGGAGGAAAAGGAGGAGGAGGAGGAGGAGGAGGAGGCTGCTGATCACGACGACGCTGTTCGCTGCGAGGGGTGCTGCGAACAGAAGAGACCCCCTCGAGGGAGAGCCAGCATCGCCGCCGCCACCAGCAGGAGTGCCGCCACGCGTGCCACCGCCAGGAGGCCCCATCGCATGCACTGGGGCCTGGCACACCGGCGGGAAGAGCCGACGAGAGAGACTCGGAGGGATGACCGACGAGTGGGACGTGGACGGATGAGGACCCTCAGCCTGAGATGAAAGCGACCGAACTGGACCGCTCAAACGTTACGAAGGCCATTTTGGGCCTCAGCCGGAAGCTAAGTACACAAAACCGTTCATCCGACTTGAGCCCACATGCGTACGGAAGGCGGGGGGGGGAGGGGGCGGACGACACTATTTGGAGGCGGCCGAGCGCAGAGGGCCCCCAGCGGAGGCCAAGAGGAAGCGACCGGGAGGAGCGAGGAGGAGAGAGGAGGAGCGAGGAGGAGGAGGAGGAGGAGGAGGAGGAGGAGGAGGAGGAGGAGCGAGGAGCGAGGAGCGAGGAGAGGAGGAGGAGGAGAGGAGGGGAGGAGGGAGGAGGAGGAGGAGGAGGAGGAGGAGGAGGAGGAGAGGAGGAGGAGGCGGCATGGGCGAACGCTTTGGCAGCACGCCGCGGCTCTGCAGCAGCCGCCCCTGCAGCGGGCGCCGCTTGCAGCGGGCGCCGCCTGCGCAGGCGACGGCGTGCCTGCCTGCCGGGCACCTTACGCGGGAGCGACGTGCCAGGTGCAAAGCGGCCGACTCGTCCGCTCCCAGGCGCGCAGGGTGTGAAACGGGCGGCGTGGGCCAGGTGCAGTCGGGGTACTGCCAGAAGGAACGCCACACCAGCAACGAAGCTCCTTGTAGCGGCCCCAGGAGTGCCCAGGTGCACGAGGAGGGCTGGAGGAACAGCCACGGAGGGGTTCAAGGAGCAGCGAGCACCTGCCGAAGCCAGAGCGGTCCTTGCCCCAGCGCCCTGACTGTAAGCCACGGGGCCGTGCGCTCCCCGTGACCCCCTCCCTCTTGCCCTCCTCGCCCTCCTCCCGGTCGCGCCGGCCCCTCCTCCCCCGGCTGCTCTCCCCCCGTGGGCGCAGGTGAGCCACGGGGCCGTGCGCTCCCCGAGCACTCCTCCCCCTTGCCCTCCCCGTCCTCCTCCCCTCGGTCGCGCCGGCCCCTCCTCCCCCGGCTGCTCTTCCGCCCGTGGAGACTCTGACGCCTTCGGCCGCTCCCGGGGCAGGGGCGAGGAGGGCATGCAGCGTGCGGCGTGGCGCTCTGCCGCTCCGTGCCACGCAGCGGAGGCCAGGGCGGCGGAGCCCGGAGTCGAATCGTTACGAGTCGGATCGGCGATCGAAATGAGTCCGATCGGGCAGGAAATCGGCAGCCAAGTCGGGAGAAGTCGAGTCGGCAGAGTTCGGCAAGCCAGTTGGCCTCCGTTGAGGAATCGGCATCCCCATCGAAATCCGAAGACGGGTCGAACCGGAATCGGAAGCCAACGAAATCTAATGGAATCGAATCGGAGGAATCGAAATGAGCCCTGAGTACCTCGGCGCGCAGAGGTTCACGGCAGCATGCAGAGGGCGGGGCGTGGGCGAGTGTTGGCGTGGTGTGCGTGCGCCCACGGGGCGTGTGCACATGCGGGGCGTGGGCCACGCTGTGATCCAGTGAGTGCGGGGCGTGGCTCCTGGTGCACAGGGCCTGGCTCATGAGCGCCTGGCACAGCGCAGCTCGGTCGCCCGCGGTGAGCGGCCAGTGAATGGAGGAGGAGGGGCGACGAGGAGGAGGAGGAGGAGGAGGGAGGAGCGAGAAGCAGGAGGAGTAGGCAGGAGGAGGAAGAGGAGGAGGAGGATGAAGAGGAGGAGGCGGAGACCGAGGAGGAGGAGGAGGAGAGGAGGCGGAAGGAGGAGGAGGGAGAAGAGGAAGAGGGAGGGGAGGAGGAGGAGGAAGAGGGAGGAGGGAGAGGAGGAGGAGGAGGAGAGGAGGGGGAGGTGGAGAGAATGAAGATGAATAGGGGAGGAGAAGGCGGAGCGGAGGCGGAAGAGGAGGAAACGGAGGAGGAGAAGGGGAAAGAGGAGAAGAAGAGGGAGGAGGAGGAGGAGGAGGGAGGAGGGAGAGCGAGAGCGCGGAGGAGGAGGGAGGAGGGGAGAGGGCGGAGGGAGGAGGAGGAGGAGGAGGAGGAGGAGGAGGAGAGGAAGGAGAAGAGGAGGAAGAGGAGGAGGACGAGGAGCGGAAGCCGGGGAGGAGAAGGAGGAGGAGAGGAGGAGGAGGAGGAGGAGGAGGGCGAGGAGCGAAGGAGCGAGGGGAGAGAGGAGGAAGGAGGAGAAGGAGGAAAGAAGGAGAAGGAGGAGGGGAGTAGGAGGAGGGGAGGAGCGAGGAGCGAGAGGAGGAGGAAAAGAGAGGAAGGAGGACTGAGGGGCAGGAGCGAGGGGGAGAGGAGGAGGAGGAAGAAGGAGAGGAGGAGGAGGGAGGAGGAGGACTGAGGAGCGAGGAAGAGGGGAGGAGTAAGAGGAGGAGGGTGGAGGAGAGGGAGGGGAGGTGTGAGGAGGAGGAGGAAGACAGGAGGAGGAGGAGGCGGAGGAGGAGGAGAGGGAGGGAGGATGATAGAGAGGAAGAGAGGAGAGATGGCGGAGCGGAGGCGGAGGAGGAGAGGAAGGAGTCGGAGGAGGAAGGAGGAGGGAAGGAGGAGGAGGGATGGAGAGAAGAGAAGGAGAGGAGAGAGGAGGAGAGGGAGGAGAGAGGAGAGTAGCGAGGGAGCGGGAGAGCGAGGAGGATTATGAGGAGGAGGAGGACGAGGAGGAGGAAGGCGGATGACGCGGATGATGAGGGGTCGGCCTGCGGAGGAGGAGTACTAGGCGGCGGAGGAGTAGGATGAGGAGGAGGAGGAGGAGGAGGAGGAGGAGGAGGAGGAGGAGGAGGAGGAGGAGGAGGAGCGAGGAGGAGGAGGAGGAGCAGCGAGGGAGCGGCGCCTCCTGCAAGTCCCGCTGCGGCAGGCCCGCGCCCTCGCACTCCGCGAGGGCGGGGTCCAGGACCAGCAGGTCCTTCGGCCGCCGCCGCGGCCGCCGAGCACTCGAGGGCTCGAGGGAGGCGAGGGCTCGAGGATTCGAGGGCTCCAGGGCTCGAGGGTTCGAGGGCTCCGGGGTCGAGGGCTCGAGGCCTCGAGGGTCGAGGGCTCGAGGCGTCGAGGATTCCAGCACTCGAGGGTCGAGGACTCCAGGGTCGTGGACTCGAGGGTTCGAGGACTCCAGGGTCGAGGACTCGAGGGTTCGAGGGCTCGAGGATCGAGGACCCAAGGGTCGTGGACTCGAGGGTTCGAGGACTCGAGCTTCCCAGGACAGAGCGAAGCTCGAGAGCCTCTGGACGGCCAGCGCCCTCTCGAGACTCCAGGGGGGGCTCCCAGGGGCCCACTGCAGACCTCTGTCGTCGTCGCCGCCGACATGGTCGTCATCGTTTTCAGTAGTCGTCGTCGGTCGGTCGTCGGTCGTCGGTTGTCGTCGTCGGTCGTCAGTCGTCAGTCGTCGTCGTCGTCGCCGCTGTCGTCGTCGTCGTCGTCGTCGTCGGTCGTCGGTCGTCGGTCGTCCGTCGTCATCGTCCCCCACCAACCGAAATGCTAGCGGCATGCACGAGCGAGGATGTGAACGCAGTAGCAATGATTTTGCTGTCAGTGCCAGAGAGCAGTAAGGACTGGTCTTAGACGGGGACGTCGTTTTACCAGGGGCGTCGGGTTCCTCATAACCTTTCAGCCTTGAAAGCAGACAGAGCAAAATCAAACTCGGGGTCGGGGCGCCCACCGTGAAGGAGGAAACAGCAGACATAGTACAACGCGCCTGCGACATAAAGCCCTTCTGCCTGTATGCGCCATAAGGTATGCCGTCTGTGTCCGGTGTGCTGTCGCGCCGCCTGCGCAAGAGCTCGCAAAACCGTTCTAACGAGATCCGTCAAATTGTGGACGGGCTGCACTGCTGGATATGTTCGTTAAGCTGACGGAGCGCCTCCTCATCCACCTCTTCCTCCGCAGCCATCCTCCCCCAGTGATCGGCGAGTACGCGGCCTTCAGTAGCAGGGTCCTCAACTGCCTCCCCCGAGTCCTCCGTAACAGCCCCGGAGCGCGTATGCATCGGAGCCCAGGCAGCAGCTAATTCACAAAGGCAAGCCACTTTCGATTCGGCAACTTGCTAAGACAATCCAGTACCCCTCCTGACCTCCCCATTTTCCCTCTCTTTGTGGTTCTTCATCATCTCAAGGATATGATTGCAGAAGCCTTCAAAGCCACTCCAGTTGCCGACGTCTTCGTGGTAAAAGTCACGAAGCACTGGAAACGCTCGGAGGAGGAGGAGGGCCAACAAAGGGTAACGCTTCGGAATGCCGACGAATGAGGTAATTGATCTTCTCGGAGACTCTCTGAAAAGGCATGCCGCCTTTGGCTAGGACTCCAGGGCCCCTCGATGACAAACGGCAGCGGTCAAAGCACATCGTGCGCGTGCGGCTTGGTCTGCGGCCCCTGGGCTGCAGATGCTGACATGCCGGCCGCACGGGATCCCGTGCCTGCGGGCAATAATTATATCCACATCCAGTGCGTCTTGGAGTCTTGGGCTCCCTTCCCCAGAAACCGTAGACGCACTGGATATGGAAAAACATCTGGCCATAAGAGGCTTGATTTTATCCATATCCAGTGCGACTCGGCGTTGCGGCACCTCTTCCCGAAAAGTCCAAGACGCCCTGGATATGGACATAAGTACTGCCCGCAGTGCCCCCCGTGCCCGCGCGGGGCGTGCCGCGTTCCGAGACACGCCGAGACCGCCAGGGGCCCACCCGCGTGCACCGCTGCCGCGGGCACGCGCGGCAGGCCGGGCAGCACGCCGTAGGCGTGCGCGGTGCCTGGCGTGCGGGGCATCCCGTGCAACGCGCGTCCGAGCACTGCAGACTGCCGACGGTCGGCGGAGCGCTCCGGCCTTGTTGCGGTCGGGCGCCCTCGCTTGGACGCCTGGCACGGGTACGGAGGATGCGGGTGCGGTGCCCCACAACGAGTGCTGTCCAAAACCGACAGCGGCCGCTGCTGGGCAGGCGGCCTGCTGCCTCAAATGGGCAACGTCCGCGGCGAAGCCGACAGCGAGCCCTGTTCAAAATGAACAGGAAGGGCTGTCAGTATGTGTACCCATTCTTTCCGTACTCATTTCGATCGTCCCGATGTTGCTTAGCGTGTCGCCAAGGCGGCCCTGGCGACACGCTATACCTTGCGAGTGGGTATCGCTCCGCTCCGCGGGGCGGGAGTCGGGGAAAGGCTCGTGAAGCTGACGCTGGTGGACTGGGAAGTGGATAGCCTGTCGCGCCGACGCATGGGCCAGAGCGGGCGGAGCGACGCGCTATCCAAAATCCCCGACCCTAGTGCGCGTGAGATCCAGGCAGTCGAAGAGCAGGCGAAGGTGGTGCTGGTGTCAGCTGGCTGCCGGCGGCTTCGGAAGCTGAAGCGCCGCCCACCAGTCACCACAGGGTGCATGCTTCTGATGATGCCGCGCAGTCGCACTGTTGCGCGATGTGGTGGCTCGTGAGCTCCTCCACCCCAGACAGGAGAACCCAGAATCGAATCGATAAGTCGGATCGGCAATCGACATGAATCGGATCGACGGAAATCGGCAGCCGCGTCGGGAAACGTCAAACCAGCAGCCATCGGCAGGCTAGTAGGCCTCCATTGAGAAATCGAAGCCCAAATCGGAGTCCTAAGTCGAATCGAAGGAGTCGAGACGAGCCCTGTCCTCCCCCCAAAGCTCGCTGACCCCTAGAACGTGTGTTAGCGCCGACGTGCGCTTGCCCACGGAAGCCCTTCGCGACGACGAAGGAGACGTGATGATCGACCGGCTGGGTGGAACGGGGTAAACACACATTGGGCCAACACGCGTCCTGAGGATCCTCGAGAAGCCACCGACGGCGCGATGTTTGGATGCGATGCCCCACCGGATGCTACGGCCCCCGCCGAGGTCCGCGCCCCCCTCCCGGGTGACCTCGCGGACGGCCCCACGGCCCGACGCGGGCCTCCAGGCGCCCCACGGGAGGACGACGCGGCACTGCGCCACCGAACGTACGCCCTCCGACGGACGCTGCGTGTGCACCTGCAGGGAGGGCGGCCGTGCGCAGAGTCGCCGTCTCCCAGTGGGGATGCACCGCCATCCTCCCCTGAGGCCCAAGAACAATCCATTGGAGGGTGCCTGTGTACGTAGCCCCCGTGCCCCCGATGATGAGCCCCCAGGCAGAATAAAATTCAGGGCTTCGGGGGTATAGTAAACATGTTTCCCCGCAGCTCGCGTGTACGGATATCGGAGAGTACGGATCGAATTCTATGACCCTGCCACACACTCGTGACCTGGAAGGGCTGGAATTGTGGAAATCCGATGGCCCTGCCACACGCTCGTGACCTGGAAGTGCTGAAGCAGTAAGAATACAATGGCCCTGCCACATGTTCGTGACTTGGGAAAGCTGAAACGGTGAGAGTCCCATACCCTGCCACACCTTTGCCATACTGCTGCCACATTACATTAGAAGATATCAACCTCGATTCGTACTTCCCTCGGCGATACTGAATTCCTGCCTCGCCGCCCCTCCCCCGACCAACTCAGCCCTGGCAAGAGATAATCTACACTCATATGATAAGGGGGAGATGATTTCACCATTCAGGTGACGGGAGAACCCTAGGGAAACAAACTCTGTACACCCGACGCTTTTCCCGGCCCTGCACTGAGACTTGAACAAGAAATCGGATCCTGGTGTATACGGGATCTTGGTGTATGCACGTTTCGTCGCTTCCCCCGGCAAACCGGGGGAACAAGTCTACACCATACCACCCCGGCGCCGTTCCCCGACCCTCGAAAAGGTCCTGGGATGGAACAACAGCCCGCCGCTGGCAATTAGATATGCTTCAGTTTCCGAAACCGCGCTGCTGCTCTCAAGACGCCGTGCGGCGCCCCCCGCCTCTGGAGCCTCGACGGAGGCGGCTTCTCGGAAGGACGGAGGGCGCAAGGCCTGCCCGTCGTCGAGGTCGGAGTCGTCGTCGCCGTCGGCGTGGTCGTCGGCGCCGTCGTCGAAAACGCCGTCGTCGTCGTCGTCGAGGTCGAGGTCGCCGCGAAGAGCGCCGCGCACGGCTCTGGCCTCGGGGCAGCGCCTCCGGGGCAGCGCCTCCGGCCCCGCTGCTGCGCGGGCCGCGCCCGCGCCCCGCGGCGACGAGGGGCAGGGGGAGCCCGAGGGCCCGGCCCAGGGAACCGAGCTCTGCGCTGCGGTCGGGCATGTCCCCCCACGGGGGGGATTTTGGCCCCCCCCCCACGGGGGGGATTTTGGACGAAAACAAAAAAATACTCAAAAAATCCCCCCCCCCCGGGGGGGATTTTGGACGAAAACCAAAAAATACGCAAAAAATGCGCCCGAATGCTCAAAACTGCTACCAGAATCGTCCCCGGACTATTTTTTGATTATCGTTGAATGCTCCCCGACTTGACTCTACGCACCGATGCTGTTTCTGGACCGGTATTGAAATTTGCACAGGGAGGCGGATCCTAGTGTATACGGGGCCCTGGTGTATACATGCTTCGCTGCTTCCCTGGGGAAGCTGGGGAAAAGGTATACACCACACCACCCCTGCGTCGTCCCCGACCCCCAGAAGGTCCTGGGATTGAAAAACAGCCCGCCACCGGTAATGTACATGCTCCAGTTTCCGATGGATGCTTTTTTTCACATCCACGGCAGACGGCTAAGACGAAACCAGGACGAGGATAACATCGAGCGAGGTACGTCGAGAATCTCTGAGGCCCGGCGGCTCTGGAGGATGTCTCCGGCGCCGCGCGCCTCCTCGGAGGGTTCCGGAACGCTCTGAGAGCGTTCCGGAACGCTCTGGCATGGACTTATCCTCGTCCTGGCCCCGTCCGAACGACCTCGATCAGATGGGGCAAGAAATTGACGAGTCGACGGTAACTCCAGATCTCGTCGGACGGAGGCCTTTGTCCGAGCTGTCTCCGGTTCTCGCCCTTGCGTGGCGCGCGAACATAGCAAGTCGTACCGCTGGCTAATGCAATCGAGGAGGAGGATGAGGAGGAGGAGGAGGAGGAGGAAGGGTAGGAGGAGGACGGGGAGGAGAGGGACCAATAACGCCAACATCTTGATAAGCATCAGGCCGGAATAGCTTGTCGATTCTCGGCGTCGGGGGGTACTTTGCTGGGGTCCAGGCAGTCAGATAACAAGCCATGATGGAAAACTGACACGCGGGGAGGTGGTCGAGAAGTGGCCCTGCATCAAGAAACAGCACGACCTCAGGTCTGAGCAGGAAGAAGATGAGCAGGAGGAGGACGAGGATACAGTGGAAGCTAGTCCACAAGAAAACTTCCACAAGAAAACCAACCCTAAGACCCCTGGACGTCCATGGTTTTTGGTGTGGGCACGTAACGCTGTCCATGACAAAAACATCGAAACCCAAGAAACCCAGGGCACCCTGGAGGCAAGCAGGGTGTTTATTCGCATGGGCCCCCACTGTACGTTCCTGGCCTGCTGCGGCTATTTCTCCACCAACACCATCCAACTTCTCCAACGCATCCTCCTTCTTCTCCGCCTCCCTCCGGCCTCGAAGTCCGCGAAAGTCTCTGGAGATCTCCAGGGATGAGGCTCCCGGAGGCCCTTCTAGGCCCGCGGAGGTCCACGGATGCCAACAAGGAGTCCCGCACATCATTCCTAGATCGCCGTCCTCCCTCACGTTGTTGCTCCTTCCCCACATGCTCCTCCCGTCCCCTCCCGATGTGCCCTCTCTGCCGTCTCCTTCGTGTCGACAGCCGCCTTGAGCCGCTCCAGCAACCCCTCCAACTCGGCCTCCTTCTCCATGGCCTCAAAGGATGAGTCGCAGGGAGAAGGTAGGGACGAGGGGGTGAGCTGGACATTGTATAAGTCATCGATGGAGGGGGGGGATGAAGGGGTTATATCTCTCTTCCTGTTAGCGCGGTCGGCTTAACCACTGCCCTGATGGAGCAAGTGAGCAAGCGAGGGGGAAGGAGTGGGAGGAGTGATGGGCAACGACAGGAGGGGGGCTGGCATAGGGGGGGATGCATCGACCTGGAATCGGCGATACATCGCCGATTGGCCTCCGATAATGAATCCGCGCCTTCATGGGCAGGTTGGGGCTATCGGGCCCCTATCGGCGATCAATAGGCGATTGGGGGTCTATGCATCCCCCCTATGCCTATCCCCCCTACCGTTGCCTCCGAAGGAGGTACATAGAGGAGGCTTGGATCAGACAGGGAACCCAGACCCCCGATGCGAGGGCCCAGGTCGACGGGATGAGAGTGGGACTGAGCACAAAGCCAAACTCGCCAGAGGCCCCCGAGGTTGCAAGAGGGTCAGCAGCAAACTGAGAACCTCGATCTCCATCCTCTTGTCCAGACCTCTAGCACTTCGTGGGCCCCGGAAACGGCAGGGCCGTTTTTTCACCGTTTCCACACACATGTCAAGTGAAAATGGAAACGGCAAAAAAACGGCGACCAGAAACGGCAAAAAAACGGCTCCAGGATCGGAACTGGAGCCGGAACCGGTCATTAAACGGCGACGGAACCGGTAAAAAAACGGCGTCGGAACCGGCAACAAAAACGGCAAAACGGAACCGGTAAAAAAACGGCCCTGTCGTTTCCAGGGCCCACTAAGCTCTAGCACACGTTTCTCCAATAGCCTTTGGCTCGAGGGTTCCGATGCCAGCCAGCGTGGGCCCCAAGCAGCGATGCCTTGCAATAGATGCGGCGCAGTCTAGGTCGTGAAATTAAGGTGGTGCAGTCTAGGTGGTGCAATCCATCACTTGCTCAACTGGAAGCTGTCCTCTCCACTGCTCGCGCAAACACCCCACTTGAAGCTGTCCTCTCCACTGCTCGCGCAAACATCCAGCCCACACTCCCACCCGCAACTTGGTTTGCAAGACCTCTTAAGACCGTGACGGTGGGTACCAAATGGCGCGTGGCAACGACAGCGACGCCGACGACGACAGCGACAACGACGACGACGCCGCCGACAACGACCACGACGACACCGACGACGTCTCCAACGGCTTCGACGACGACGACAACGACGACGACGACGACACCGACGACGACGACGACGACGCCGACGCTGACGACGACGACGACGATGACAACGCCGACGACGACGACGCCGCCGCCGACGACGACGACGACGACGACGCCGACGCCGACGACGACGACGACGGCGACGACGAAGACGACGACGACGACGGCGACGACGAAGACGACGACGACGACGACGTCGCCAACGAAGACGACGACGACGAGGGAGGAGGGAGCACTACGATGGCGAAGACAACAACGACGATGGAGGAGGGAAGACGACGACGACGACGACGACGACGACGACGACGGCGGCGACGAAATAGGAGGACAACGACGAAACGCCGACGAAGACGACGAGGGAGGAAGGACGACCAAGGCGACAACGACGACGGCAACGACGACGACGCCAAGACGACGACGACGACGAGGAAAGACAGACGACGACGACGGCGACGACGACGACGACGAGGGAGGAGGGAGGACGGCGACGACGACGACGACAACGACGCAAGAGCGCGTGCGCACGTTTTTGTTGAAAATCCGTGTTCCGAAACCTTTGTTTTTGTATGTTTTGTGGACACACGATTTTGACATCCTTCCGAAACCGAGGATTTTTGAAGGATTTCGGCATGCGCGCGCGACGACGCGCGCGTCTGCACATCGTCCCATTTGTTGCGCAGAATTTCGACATGCGCGCAAGGGCGTTCGAAAGATTTCGACATGCGCGCGCCCGAAGCCCGTGTGGTAGTTTGTTCTTGAAAAGGTTGAAAAACCGTGGTTTCCAGACGATTTCGCAAGAGCGCGCGCGTAAGCTTTTTTAGAACATCAGTGTTGCGAGACCATGTGTTTTTGCATGTTTTTGGAAACTCGATCTTGAAATCCTTCCGAAGCCGAAGGTACTTGAAGGATTTCGGCATGCGCGCGCGACGACGCGCGCGTGCACGTCTTCCAATTTGTTGCAAGGGATTCTTGAACACTTATGATTTTTTATCAACGAGAGTGCGCGCATAGTCGTTTTTGCAGAGGATGGCGGGGGGGAGTAATACTGGTTTGGCTGGGATAATACGAACTCATATTTAGGATGGACATGTGTGTAGAATAAATGTGACATCGCGATACCCCAAGGGGGATCGTGAACTCCGGGGGAGGTAGAGTGTATTCTTCTTTTAGAAAGGAGAATCCACGTGGTGCAGTCTATGTGGCGAAAGGCAATTCAAATCAACGCAAAGCAAGGCACATGAATGTCAAGCAATGCCAAGCAAAGCAAAACAACTCAACGCACTACAAAGCAATGCACAGAAATTCAAAGCAACGCAATGCAAAGCAACGCAATGCCAAGCAACGCAAAGCAATGCACAGCGAAGCAAAGCAATGCACAGCAATGCAACGCAATGCAATGCAAAGCACCGCAGAGCAACCCAAAGCAACGCAAAGCAATGCAACGCAAAGCAATGCACAGTGCAACGCAATGTAAACCAATGCAAACCCAAACAATACAAAACAATTCAACGCAATGCAACGCAATGCAGAAGTAATGCGAAACAATGCCAAACAATTCAGTACAAAGCTACGGAAAGCCAAGCAAAGCAAAGCAATGCGAAGCAATGCGACACAGTGCAGGACAATGCCAAGCAATACAAAGCAAAGTAAAGCAGTGCAGATCAGCGTACAGAAAGCAATGCAAATCAAATTAATGTAATGTAACGCAAAGGAACCCAACGCAATATCAAGTAACGCAGGCCCAGACGGCGACGGGGCGGCGACGGCGACCACATGGCCGCCAGACCGACAGGCAGGCCCAGAGCGACGTGGCGGCGACGGCGACCACATGGCCGCCAGACCGACGGGCAGGCCCAGAAGACGGGCGGCGACGAGGCGGCGGCGGGGCGGTGACCAGGTGATCACGACCACATAGCCGCCATACCCACGGGCAGGCCCAGATCCTCAGAAAAGAATTAAGAAACCCTCAATGCATGGGCGCAGACACACAAAAGGACCACAGAAGAGTCTCACAAGGGTGAGCGGGCAACCCGAGGCCGCCCCGCTAGATCGCCCGGTCCTGCAGCCGTTTCGACGGAGACTTTCGCACGAATTCTTCAGGAATCGCGCTTTCGCCTCAATGCCGGCTACATTGTTGGCCTGGGCGGCCACGATCCCTGGTGCAAAGTACACTACGGTGCACATGGCCGTGGTCTCACCCCTGTCCCGGCTGCATCTTTTTCTGCTATGAGGGCACTTCGCTGGGGTGTTGTGCATGTTTCTCAACGGCCCCCCCAGAGGTCTCGGCCCCCTGCTGGAGGCCGAGAGCGAAGACAACGTCACCGCCTGGATTTGTTCCAAGCGTCGAAGGTCTGCGGGGGTGTCCTCGTCGAGTGGCGGTACACGTCGTTCATTTCTAATCGCGCTCATTTCTGACTGTGCTCGTTTCTAATTGTTCCTGGGCCCCTAGTGGCCAGGAAGAGGCCCAGGATAGAACAATTAGAAATGACAGGATCTTGGCCCCCCAGAAAATCCAAGAAATTTCCAGTAATTAGAAATGAAGAATGTGTACGGCTGAGGTCGCTGCATGGGGGAGGAAGGAGGGACCGGTGGTCTCATCCTGCCTACTCTGTCCCCCGATCAGCCACGTTGGCGATTTGCGCTGGCCTCTCTGACGCAGCTAGCTGCCCACCTCCCTCCGCATGGGTCTTGGTCGCTGGAAGGGTCGGCATACTGGACCTCCCCAAGGGCCCACAGCAAGAAGGAGGCGAAGGAGGAGGAGGAGGAGGAGGAGGAGGAGGAGGAGGAGGAGAAGCAGCGGGAGGAGGCGAGGGAGGAGGAGGAGAAACAAGGAGGGGGCAACGGAGGCCAAGGAAGAGGACCTCTCCAAGGGCCCACAGCAGAAGCAGCAGTGGGAGAAGCAGCGGGAGGAAGATGGTGGGAGTGGCTCAGTGAAAACACCATTGAAGGGGCCCTGGGACACACAAACAAATAGACACAAATAACAGGACTCCGCATATTTTCCCATATTTTCTGGGTTTTCGTCTTCCCCCCCCCCCACTTCCCGTATTTTCCCATATTTTCTGGGGAGTCGACGATTAATTGTGTCTGCGTGATTTTTTCCCCTCCTGAGCCTGGTAGGCCAGAGATCTCGGCGCATGGACGCCCCGGCTGCCCGACCCGTGAGGCGCTGGAGCGTCTGCACACCGCGTTCCTTCGCCGACCTCCCAACAATGAGGAGGAGGAGGAGGAGGAGGAGGAGGAGGAGGAGGAAGAGGAGGAGGAGGAGGAGGAGGAAAAGGAGGAAAAGGAGGAAAATGAGGGAAAGGAGGAGGAGGAGGAGGAGGAGGAGGAGGAGGAAGAGGAGGAGGAAGAGGAGGAGGAGAAGGAGGAGGAGGAGGAGAGGACGAGGAGGAGGGGAGGAGAAAAAGGAGGAGGAGAAGGAGGAGGAGGAGGGGGGGGGGAGGAGGGAGGAGGAGGAGGAGGAGGAAGGAGGAGGAGGAGGAGGAGGAGGAGAAGGAGGAGGAGGAGGAGGAGGAGAAGGGGGAGGAGGGGGGAACAGGAGGAGGAGGAGGACGAGGAGGGGGCGGAGGGGGAGGAGAAGGAGGAGGAGGAGGAGGAGGAGGAGGAGGAGGAAGAGGAGGAGGAGGAGGAGGAGGAGGAGGAGGAAGAGGAGGAGAAGCAGGAGGACGAGGAGGAGGAGGAGGAGGAGGAGGAGGAGGAGGAGGGGAGGGGAGGAGGAGGACGGAGGAGGAGGAGAAGGAGGAGGAGAAGGAGGAGGAGGGGAGAGGGGGA